CCTTTTTGAGAGGCTGCCCAAAGGACTTGTTTCTGTCTTGCCCAAATCTAAGCAGTGACAGGAAAGGGTGCTAGGTTGGGGGCTTTGGAGAACAAAGGCAACAGTTTGGACTGCTACACTCCCCTGAGGAACTGAGCAGGAGAAAAACCCACCTCCCAGTTTCTTCCAGCGGGGGATGCATCCGATTTTGGGATTTCCTGGGGAACTACCTGAGCAAGTAGTTTCTGCCTCATCTGTCTCTGAACATTGTCTCTTTGCCTAAAGGCCACTGAGAATAAAAGAGTTATTGGTTAATATTCCATTGTATATATGTAGTACCTTCTTTTTTTTATTCATTCATCCATTGATAGACCTTGGTTTTCTTCCATATCTTGGTTATTGTAAATAAGGCTGTAATTAACATAGGGGTACATCCATCTTTTTGAATTAGTGTTCTCCTTTTCTTCAGGTAAATATCCAGAAGTGGAATTGCTGGGTTGTATGGTGTTTCTGTTTTTAATTTTCACATAATAAGGTATATAAATGTTGAATCACTTATTTTGTACTGTAATGTAGTAACCCGCGGAGACGACCACCAGGCACTCAGATCAAAATTTAGGAGCCTTTATTAAGCTGGCCAGCGACTACAGTTACAGCACCCTGCCGAAGGAGAGGCTGAACTGCAGTGCCAACTACAGGAGTTACATTTTATTATTAAATTCTGTGGAGGCCCAGATAAAAATGTGTCTTTCAAATTCTGGGCCCCCAATATGGAGGAAACTTTCTTTATTTATACTTTTTCCAGTCCTTTGCCTCCCAAATTTGGAATGAGACTTCTGGGCCTTCTGAGAAAGAAAGCCTGCGTGTTGGGAAGGGCCATGAGACCATATCTCAAGGCGTGGCCTCATGTCAGTACCTTCCTATCTATATGTTCTAGGACAGCTTGCCCCACCTGGCCGAAGCGCCAGATATGCAGCCCAACACAGTACCCCTGAAACTAATATACTATATTATATGCCAACCAACTATACATTCATAAAAAAATTTAAGCAACAGCAACATCAAAAAGAGTTGGTCAGCTTGCTTTTGCTCAAGAGGAAGTGAAGTTCAGTAGACAGACATCAGATAGGCCTGCGTATTTGTCTTTTCCTCACTGTACAGTCACCTGAGAAATGGCAGTCAGTCTCTAGGAAGTTGAGCAGTTTGGGGAATGAGGTGATGGTTTTTAGATGTGTTAAGGTTGAGGATCTTATAGGACATGCTAATGGAATTATCCAGATTGTACTTCAAAATTTTGATTCTGGAGCTCCAGTGAGTAGTCAGAGTTAGAAATACATACTTAGGAGTCCTTCATTCCCTCATCAAATATTTTAGCAGTGTTTGTTCACACACTATTACCTAGCAAGTCTGCTGTAGTCCTCTTGATCCCATTCTCTTTGCCCCCCTCAGAGGTAATCTTTATTCTGAGTTTATCATCATAAAATCAATGAAACCAAAAGTTGATTTTTGAAAAGATAATAAAAAATCACAAATCTTAGGCACACTGACCAGGAAGAAAAAGAGATTCCTCAGTCCTAACCGGTTTGGCTCAGTGGATAGAGCGTCGGCCTGCAGACTCAAAGGTCCCAGGTTCAATTCCGGTCAAGGGTATGTACCTTGATTGTGGGCACATCCCCAGTTGGGGTTGTGCACGAGGCAATTGATCGATGTTTCTCTCTCATCGATGTCTCTAATTCTCTATCCCTCTCCCTTCCTCTCTGTAAAAAAAAAAAATCAATAAAATATACTTTAAAAAAAGAGAGATTCCTCAGAAATCACCGAAATCAGGACTAAAAAGAGAAACAGCACCACTGACTCTATGTAAGTTGAAAAAATTAGAAGAAAATAGTGTGACAACTTTATGAGAACAAATTATACACAAAGATGCAATGAGAACATTTGAGGGAAGACACAAACTCCAAATCAGACTTGTTAACTTGAAAACAAAAGCTAAGGGGAGAGGCAACAAGCGTTTATTTGAGATCAAAGAATACTAGTAGATTCAGGAAGCACTGATTCAGGCAGAAACCCAAATAATATTCTGATTATGGGGTGAAGGCAAGGGGTTTTTATGAGAAAAGGAAGAGGAATCATTACATGAATAGAAGGAAGAAATTTCTATTAGTGCTAATAAGCTAAGTTATTCGTTAGCTATACATGGTGGTGCGAACTCTAAAGAATGTCCTTAATTTGTGGTCCTTTCATCTGCTTTCCTGTTAGTTTTACAAACAGTTGTTTGGAATACAATGTTGCTTTGGCCCAGTCCAAAGGTTATTTTGTCCACTTCAAACATTCCAAAGGTTTGAGGAGTAAGAGGTATGTGCAAGGCAATTCCTCTGAGGTGGAGGCTTGGACTCCATTTTGAAATTACTCTGTTTCTACCATTTTTCACAGAATCAGTAAAAGATTTAAAAAATCAACTAAATTAATAGCTAAAAATATTCCCACAATGAATAGGTCCTATCCAGGTGGCATTACTGCTTAATTCTATCAAACATTTCAGGTAGAAATAATAACAACACTCCTCAGAACTCTTCCAGATAATAGATGAGGAATGGACACTTTCAAATTAACTATGTTAGTGGACAGCTCTGAATCGGAGAGGGGCTGTTCCCTCCTCGGCTCCTGTCAATCTCATAAGAAAGGTTTCAGAGGAATGACAGACAGCAACATTGTAGCAAAGCAAGCAAATTTATTAAGAATACATGACATAAAGCACAAGTGGGAAACCCAGCTAATCTGAGCACCTCACCTGGTGGAAGTTTTCTGTCTATAGGTTTCAAGGTTCCTTTGCCAGATATCTTGGGCAACAGACTAGATTTCAAAGTCCCCCTTTTACTTTGTTGTGGCTTTTCCCAGAATTTATGAGAACATCTGGCAATTTTATCTAGGCAAGTACCAAGACTACTGTCTTCTTTGTTCAGTGAGTGAGATAAACTCCACCCCCAACACACCTTCCCAAAGACAGCTGACTTATTTGTTTAGTAAGATAAAACTCTCCCCTTCTTAAACCCTTCCCCTCTTGCTTAGCATCCCCCAAGTGATATTTGTCCTTGGATTTAGCTGGGGTCTTTGTTCTCTATTTTCCCAGGCCAGGGTGATTTAAGCCATGTATTCTATGGTTAAGGAGGAGAGCCATTAACCATTTGCATCCAAGTCTCCTTGGTTGGGGAAGATAAGGTCACGATTCACAAACTGCCCAAACTGTTTGGCCTTGTTTAATTCTCTTGTCTCAGTTTACCCTTCCACTTGCCCAGGAATTTTCATAGCTTCTTACTATCCTGCCACAGGTCTACTAGGCCAATATTACTGTAGCGCAAACCCCTGACAGTTGGGTTTTTTATTGTAATGCAAGTGCCTGATATTAAGCTTTAAATTGCTGAGGAATCCTCTTCAAAGACAGATATCTCGAGTAAATGCACTGCCAGCTACAGAACTGAATAAAGAGCTACGCTGCCGCACCCCTGAAGTTTCCTTTGTTTCAGAGATCTCTGACCACTCTTTTTTTTCCTTTCCTGCACTTTAATTCCTGTTCCTATGTTTTGAATTCACCAAATAAGAGTAAACTTGTGAAACCCTAGGCCCCTTACCCTCGACTCCAATAAAAGCAGAGCCCAAGTTCAAGCACTCTTTATCTGCAACCTTGCCAAGTGGCCCTGTACCCTTCAGGACTTGTAAGTAATAAACCTTGTTCTTTCAAAGTTTCCTGATGTTTACTGCTGAGGTTTCTCTCTCAGTCATGCTAAGAACCACAAATGCTGATCCAGCCACAACATTGGTTCAGAAAGGGGGCTCACCTTGGGTCCAGGGTCCTAATAACACCAGGCATTTCTAGCCAATAGTATCATTAATAAGCTGAGACCAGCACGAAACAATTACTCTGATGCCAAAGACACACAAAAACATCCAAAATTAAGAAAAGTGCAGATCATTTTTTCTCCTAAATATAAATGAAATAATCCTCAACAAAATATTAGCAAACTGAATTCAGAAGCACATAAAAAGTATTATATACCATAACTAAGTGGGATTTATTCTGGGAATACAAGTGTCAATGAAAAGAAAACTAAATCTCTGGAAATGTAAAGAATTTTTATTTGGGCCCATCTGAGGACTGTAGCCTGAGAGCAGAACTTCAAGGAACCTTGAAACAGTGCTCCAACTTCAAAAAAGTGAGAGGTGCTTATATAGGCAGAGGACTAAGCGAAAAGTACATCTGGCTCATTTTTAATTAGGATACATATATTTCAGTGATTAACAATTTTACATGAAAGGAAAGGATGTATATGAAAGTAAGATTGGGTTTGGAAACAATTAAATTGCCTTGAAACTCTTTGAGATGCATTTTATCTTGTGGATGACAAAAAGGAGTTCTATGGAGAGTAACCTCTCTAGAGGATTTGATCATAAATTCCTAACTGGACAGGTCATGGTGGGGTGTCATGCCCCAGGTACATAACTTTTTTAGTAAAAGGCTTATCTTTGCTTTAAGCAAGCCCTGCCCATTGTTTCTATGCATCTA